GAGAGAGACAGAGAGAGAGACAGAGAGAGAGAGAAGGGGGGGGGTGAGAAAGAAGAAGGGACATCTGGTTAAGTGGCGAGGGAAACCCCGCGCGACGCCAAAATAGATGGCCGAAATACGTCATCTATATTTCAGCCAATCACAGAGATGTGCTACATGCTCGCTGTAGCTTCAACGATTTCAGTGACAGAGTCGGGCAGCGCACAGCGCAGGTAGACCATGGTTCCGCTATAAGAGAGGGCTTCTATCAGGCGTGCGTTGCCACCCACAGAGTAGCACCCATTACCGTAGAACATCCTTGCCCCAATAGGAAGAAAAGGACGATCCAAACAGCAACACATTGCCAACGCCCTACAATAGCACCACACCTCCACCCCACCCCAATCCACACCTCCACCCCACCCCAATCCAAAAACTTGCGGTACAAGGGGACAGTAAAGGTGAATGAAAAGTATGTACTTACCAGACTGACCCAAGATAAGAACAGCACACTCAAAGTCCCACCTCCCATGACTTGGGTGAAGGGAGACATAAGAATCTAGATCTCAAGTCTAAGATCAGCCTTTCACTGTCTGGTATACCTCTGAACAGTTGGTCTTGGAGCAAACAGTGTAGTGACAGTAGTGAGGCCAACTGACCAAAATTTTGGAATCACTTCAGTTTTGAAAAGTCGAATTACTTAACGATAAAGTTCACTCAAACTGCTCATGTCTTCTTTACAAATAGAAATTAATCCTGACGAACACACATGTAGTTGATTTTTTCTGGTTTCATGTAAGAAACAGAAACAGGCATTCTTCAGCTCTTGATTCCCGCCTCTAGGAGCCTGAAAGGCTGTCATTCACCAGAGACAAAACAAAGCAAACAGAATCTTGAAACAGTACTTTCGTCACAACGTGAGTGTCTTCCCAAGTAGATATGAAATGCCTAACTTTAGAAATCAAGTGCCGATCGACTGGAATCTCCTTTCCAGGTACCGAAATGTACGAACCTAGCTATAGGTGCAACATTCAAGACGCTATGATGTCCTTCCTCGTTGGGATACACACTCGGTGTCGTATGTCTCGAATGTGACAGCTGTGCCCCTTCCTTTATCCGGTGTTTTACAACAGATCGGTTGCTTGCTTCAAAGCACTTTTGTCACGAGTTTCGATAAGGGCGTGTTACCTCGACCTAGACAGATTCTCCTATCCCCCGTAGACTTGCACTTCTAGATTACGCACAGTCATGGCAGCCGCTCTACGCCCTCGGTGAAAAACTTCCCTGTGAAGCGTGCGTCCCGCAGTCCAGCGACCATATATATTATGTATATATATATATATA